GAGGAAAGAGAGAGGGGAAGGAAGATAGGATAAGATACGGGTGGGGATGGAGAAGGGATGGGGCAGGAGGAGAGCAGGGGGAGGAGAGGATGTGATAGAGGGTGGGGAAGGAATGGAAGGAGGGGGAGAGGGATGGTGGGGGGAGGATAGGACAGGGGATGGGGAGGGAATGGGAGGGGGAGGGGGAGAGCAAAGGAGACTTTATTTAGTCAAATCTGATTAGCCACACAAGGAATTTGTCTCCGGTGCAGAAGCTGTCAATGTACATGCAAAGCAACAGGGTAATAATAATCACAATATACCAATGCCAGTGTTCTCACTTTAGCTTTTACACTTTCATTGAGCCGAATTCAGATTTCCTTTTCATGCATTGAAAACCATTTCCAGAACAGGGTTTGTTAAAATGCACACTATTATCGTCTTGCCGTTGTTTTTGTTTGTCTTTAGGTGAACAGCTACGTTCCAGGAATCGGATACCAGGTTTTTGGCAATGTGGTCTCCTTAATCCTGGGATTAACGCCGTTTGTATTTAGACTTTCCCAAGAAAAAGACCTGGAACATCTAGCCACGCATACGGCTACCGAACTCTATGCTATTGCTTTCGGGTCCAATGGAAACATCATGGTGATAGCCATGGTTATTGTGTGCTTTGTAGTTCGTGTTTCCCTGGTGTGGATATTTTTCTTCCTTTTATGTGTGGCTGAGAGGACTTACAAGCAGGTAAGCCTTAGCACCAAACCCCCCTCCAAAGCTCATTTTTGGAAAAAAAATTGACATGCTGGAATTTTCTGTGATCTCTGCTATGCTTACATCTTGGATATACCGTTTCCCCCAAAATATGACCTACCCTGAAAGTCCTAGCTTGATTTTTACACATGCGCCCAATATAAGTCCTACCCCCAAAGTAAGCCCTAATTAAGATCCTGCCCACTCCAGAGTGGATGGGTAAAAATTAAGCTACGGTGGGGATGGGAGGGTGGAGCTGCCCTACTACTTACCTGTGGATAGTTGTAGCCAGGCCTCGCACACCCCGACACCTGCTTGGCCAGCCCATTTCTTCTGCAGCTGGCAAGGCTTTCCTGAAGGCCTCTGGAGCTGATAACAAAGCTTTGGATCAATCCACAGCTCCTGTATTGGCTGCAGAGGCCTTCAGGAAAGCCTTGCTGACCACAGAAAAAGTTCCTGAAGGCCTCTGCCAGCGAAAAGACCAGGGGCAACGCACGCAAGTGAAGTTAATCAGTGGATGACATCCCCCGAAAATAAGACCTGGTGCCTTTTTTGGTGGCAAAAAAATTATAAGACAGGTCTTATATTTGGGGAAACACGATAGTACACTGTCTCCAGTGCTATTTTAACATGCTTATTTATTATAATGCATATTCTGCCCTTAAAATATATTTATTTCCTAGCATGGCTTGTAATTCAGTCATTGAAAATAGAAATTCTTAAAATGTCCAAGGGTTATCTGGCTACAACTGTTATTATTGCATATGATTATAGGGCAGGTAAAGAGAAAATATCTGACATAAGTCAACTCACAGTGTAAACAGTGTAATTAAAGGAAAAAAGTACACTTAGAAAGCTGTATCATAAACAAAACATTTCCCCAAAACAATTAATTAGTGAAGATCATCTTCCTTGCTCCTTTGTACAGGTATAATATAGGTATTAGCTGGTTCAATAGCCGTAACTATGAGAGGTGATCTCAGAGTCTTACTGGACAACCACTCAAATAGGAGCCAGCCATGTGCAGCAGCTGCCAAAAAAGCCAATGCAGTTCTAGGCTGCATAAACAGAGGGATAGAATCAAGATCACATGAAGTGTTAATACCACTTTATAAGGCCTTGATAAGGCCAAACTTGGAATGCTGCATCCAGTTTTGGTTGCCACAATATAAAAAAAGATGTTGAGTCTCTAGAAAGAGTGCGGAGAAGAGTAACAAAGATGATAAGGGGACTGGAGGCTAAAACATAGGAAGAACAGTTGGTGGAATTGAGTATGGCCAGTTTAGAGAAAAGAAGGACTGAGGGGCCCATGATAGTAGTCTTCCAATATTTGAGGGGCTGCCCCAAAGAAGAGGGAGTCAATTTATTTTTCAATGCACCAGAAGGCAGGACAAGAAGCAACTGGGTGGTAACTAACCAAGGAGAGAAGCAACATAAGAACTAAGGAGAAATTTCCTGACAGTGAGAACAATTAATCAGTGGAACAACTTGCCTTCAGAAGTTGTGGATGCTCCAACACTGGAAGTTTTTAAGAGATTGGACAACCCCCCACCCCCAAATGATATTTCTGGCCTGAGCAGGGGGTTGGACTAGAAGACCTCCATAGTCCCTCCCAACTCTGTTATTCTGTTCTGTTCTTTGCAACAACAAAAAGAATCAATTTAAATATTGGTTACTTATGTCAGCAATCCGTTCTTGTAAACCAGGCCTTGAGTTAACCCATTCGTTATTGCAGAATAAGTATTAGGACAAGCAGATGAGGTCTTGGGAGATTTCTGATATGGGAGATCTAATAAAGAAAGAAGCATCCTTAACACGCAAGAATTGGTAGTATAAATAATTATGGTTTGCATTCTGCTTTTCCACCCTGAAAGGAATCCAATGAAGAATGTCATTTGTTTTATTTCAAACTCTTTTATGTTTTACAGAGATTGCTTTTTGCCAAACTTTTTGGTCATTTAACGTCTGCCAGGAGAGCTCAGAAGTCAGAAGTACCTCATTTCCGGCTAAAAAAAGTCCAGAATATTAAAATCTGGCTTTCCCTTCGCTCCTACCTAAAGGTTTGTGGTTATTTATTTATTTCAACTTCTGCCTAAATTCATGCCATAGAACAGTGGGGGCTAACCTTTTTGGGCTCCTGTGCCAAAAATTGTGCGTGCGCTTCCACTCACACACTTGCGTACCAGCATACAGAAGGCAATACTTGCGCCTCCCCACACCCCCTGTGCATGCGTGTGCAACCCCCCCCACTGCTGCCCGCTTACCTGAGCTGTGCCTCATAGCTGATTTTTTGGTTGGTTTGAGGCCTTTTTTGGCCTCCCACAGGTTTGAAAAAAGTCTGTAGCTTTGCAGGACGAATAATAGGCCCGAAGTAACAAAACGGGCCTATTATTCATCCTGCAAATCCTGCAGAAGTTCTTTTTGAAGCTTCTGGGAGGCCGAAAAAGGTCTCAAACCAGCTGAAAAATCAGCTGTGAGGCACGCGCATGCGCAGTGAGGTAAGTCTGTCTGTGGCTCGTGTGCTGGCACAAATGGCTCTGTGTGTTATCTGTGGCACGCATGCCATAGGTTCGCCATCACGGCCATAGAAGATACTGTTGATGCAGCTGAGGCTTAAACTGTCCCTTTGTTTCCCCCACACACACAATGTAGGCAAGTTGTTAAGTGAGTTTTGTCCCATTTTACGACCTTGCTTGCCACCACTCTTAAGTGAATCACTGCAGTTGTTATATTAACAACATGGTTGTTAAGTGAATCTGGGCTCCCCCATTGACCTCGCTTGTCCAAAGGACATAAAAGGGGGTCATGTGATCCTGGGACACTGTGACTGTCATAAATACGAGTCACTTGCGAAAGCGTCTGAATTTTGATCATGTCACCGCAGGGAAGCTACAATGGTCGTTAGTGTAACAAAATTTCAGTGCCGTTGTTATTTTCAGTGGCCGCTAAATGAATGGTTGTAAGTCCAGGATTACCTCCACGGGTGGGGTTCAACCAGTATAACAATCGGTTCACTGAGCGTGTGCTTCGTGTTTGCAAACCGCCCATTTTCGTCTCTAAAACTTACTTTCCGCTGCAGCCCCAGTGAGTGAAGCAGCTGAGTTGCAAAACACGGAAATAAAGAACAGACTAGGGCAGGGGTCTCCAAGCTTTTGGACCTCAGGGACCACAAAACTCATAATTTTAAATCCCGCAAACCAGAGACCCTGGGAAAATCCCCCAAAAAAGTCTACAGGAAAATTCCCCACCCTGTTTTCCTACCAATTGATCGTTCTTTATTTGGGATCGCAGGATACCGTCTCCAGCTCTGTTCTCAGGGAGAGAGAGAGAAAGACTTTTGGCTTCATGCAAGGAAAACAGCAGAAGCAGCAGAATTCTTTCTTTCTCTTTCCCAAACTCTACCAGAAATGAGTCTTTGCCGGTGCAGCCTCTTGGAGCAGGATGCCTTGCGGATGCCAAAGACTCATTTCTGGTGGAGTTTGGGTGAAGAAAGAAAGACTTCTGCTGCTTTCCTTGCGTGCAGCCAAAAGCAGAAGAAAGAAGCAGAAAGAAGCAGCCCAGTGGACAGGCGGGGCATGTGGGGCAAGTTCTCCTCCTCTGCCCTTTCCCCCCTTCCCTCATTACCTAGTGTTGTATGCAATGCAAGCCTTGTGTTCCCGTGGGCCATGTGGTTGGTGCAGCCTTGTGTTCCTGCACAGCCTGGATTATCGCTTTGGGGGTGACATTTCTCTGTGGACCAACAAAATTTTCTCATGGACCAAAAGTGGTCCCCCGGCCCACTGGTTGGCGACCACTGGAGTAGGGCAGGGGCATGTGGGCGGGGCCAACTAATCACTGGACCAACCGGTTCAATTGAACCGGTACAAACCAGCTGAATCCCACCCCTGATTACCTCTGTAGAATTAAAGGCACAATAGAATGCAAAATGGGTCAAAAATAGAGGTCTTCATCTTGCACTGGATAGACAATGGCCAGAACGATGATGATGAAGAAGAAGAAGAACCGACGAACTGAACCCTACAGCAAACAATGCACTATGTTGTATGCACAAGTTACCAAGTTTGCTGTATATTAATAGACCAGGTCAGCTCGCTTCCCAGGTTCTACGACAGTTTGTTCATCCATCCCACACTCACCGTTTATTTCTATTTACAGAGACGAGGTCCTCAGCGTTCAGTGGACGTCATAGTTTCCTCTGCTTTCTTGTTGACTATTTCTGTGGTGTTTATCTGCTGCGCACAGGTAAGGAACCTGATGGGAACTGAATTCCTTCCGGTTCAAAAAATCGCAGTTAAGAAACCTAAGTAGAAATGTTCCTCCGTGTCTCCTCAGATGGACATCACAGGCCTAAATGCATCCAGAACCCCAAAGCAAAAGTAGATTCAAACAGAGGTGTGGTTAGCTGGATTAGTTGTTTTTCAGCCTTGTCAATCAATCAATCAATCAGAATAGAGCTGGAAGGAATCGTGGAGGTTTTCTAGTCCAACCCTCTGCTCCAGCAGGAGACCTTATACCACTGGTGGCTAACCTTTTTGGGCTCCTGTGCCAAAAATTGTATGCGTGCTCACGCTCGCGTGCCAGCACCCAGAAGGCAATGCCTGCGCCTCCCCATGCCTCCTACACATGCGCGCGCAACCCCCTCCCCATACCGCCACCACCCCCTTACCTCCACTGTGCTTCATAGCTGATTTTTTTGGCTGGTTTGAGGCCTTTATTCGGCCTCCCAGAGCCTTGAAAAAAGCCTCTGCAGGCTTTGCAGGATAAATAATAGGCCCAAAGTGATGAAACGGCTTGCATGTCTACTCAAGAGATAAATCATATTAAAATTGAATGGATCGATCCGTAGGGAAGTGAAGATTTCACAGGATTGCAACGGAGGTCGTTTGTTCGTGAATTTTATTTGGTGAAAGATAACTTCGGTGCTGATGGAGAATTAACCCCTCTGTTTTGTTTTGTTTTTTTGCCTTATTTCAGCTGCTTCACGTCCATGCAGTCTTCCTTGACTGCCATTATAATTGGGAACTTGTCATATGGTGCATTTCCTTAACCCTTTTCCTTTTGAGATTTGTGACACTCGGATCCGAAACAAGCAAGAAATACAGCAATACATCAATATTGCTTACTGAACAGGTGAGAACTTTTACCAAATAAGACTTAGAATAACTGTGTACAGCCCTCAAAGAGTCACCATCTCCAATATACACTATGTAAACACGACAAAATAAATAAATAAATAATGCACGTACTCATATATATTCCATGATGCAGAAAAACAATGCAGTCTAGTTCGGATGTATACATGTACATGGTGAGAAAAACAAACCCTGCGAGTTTACAGATGGACGGCATAGGGAACAAAGCTATTTCAGAATCTGGAAGTCCTGCTAGAAATACTTCGAAACCTCCTCCCAGAGGGGCGCAACAGAAACAGGCCGTGAAGTGGGTGTGTGGGGTCTCTAACAATGCTTTGAGCTCTAAGTACATAGCGCTTATAAGCAGTATCCTGAATAACAGGAAGCAAGCTTTCTTTAATCATCTCCATTGCCCTCACCACTCTCTGTAGGGACTTTCTATCTGAGGCACTGCAGCCACCAAACCAAAGAAGGATGCAGTTTGTTAAGACGCTCTCGATTGTGCCTCTGTAAAAAGTGGCCAGGAAAGAAGGAGAAAGATGTGGTCTCCTCATCCGACGCAGGAAACACAGATGCTCGGATGAGGAGGGCATGTTTTTCTCCTTCTGTCCTGAATCCCTGACTCATTCAGAAAGCAGTGCATTGCAATTCTGCTTACAGTAGTTAACTTTGGGAGTCAGTTGGGTGTAGTGGTTAAGGCATGTAACTGGGAGACCGTGAGTTCTACTTCCACCCTGGGTAAAAAGCTGGGTGACTTTGGGCCAGTCACTTTCTCTCAGCCCTAGGAAGAAGCAGTGGCAAGCCACTTCTACAAATCTTGTCAAGAAAATATCAGGGACTTGTCCAGGAAGTCTCTGAGAATTAAACACGACTGAACAGAAGGAAGAAAAAGTGAATTCTGAGTAGATATGCAGATTATTTGATAGAACATTAAAAAACACACATTCAATTTGATTTTCATTTAAGGCTTCAACAAATAGGAAACAAAATACTGTATATCTATGGAAATTCAGTCATCCAGGTCATGGTTGTCCCAAAGGTGTTTTTTCAAGAGGCAACTGGACATTTTTTGTTTTTCCTTGAAGTCGTTTCGCTTTTCTTCCAGGAAGCTTCTTCCGTTCTGATTTCTGACAGAAATTCTGACAAAACTGAAGAAGCTTCTTGGACGAGAAGCGAAACATCTTCAAGGAAAAACAAAGAAAGTCCAGTTGCCTCTTGAAAAAAGCACCTTAGGGAGCTAATAACTGTAGTTTTGATGCTCTGTCCTTGAAATTCTCTCCCTTGGAATAGAAGTGTCTTGTAAGTACCAAAGGAAAGACTTATTAAAAACCTTTATTCAGCCTGTCAGCTCATTGTCTTTTGTTTAATCATTTTCCCCATTCTTCATAAATTCCTGTCTGAATTTAAACATTAATTTAATTTGGTTCATGAATTATACATCGCCCCGAGACTCTTGGGCTGAAGAGCCGGGTTGTTTATGTAAATAAACATTTTTTAAAAAAATGAAAATGAAAGATAAACACTATCCTTGTTTTAAAAACTGCACTACTTGAGATGATTGTTTGTTTTAAGTGACACCTGTGTCTCCTCCCTGGGTTAGATAAACTTGTACTTGAAAATGGAAAAGAAGCCGAACAAGAAAGAAGAACTAACATTGGTCAACAATGTTTTAAAACTCGCGACGAAATTATTGAAGGTGAGAATTTTAAAAACGGAAATGATTTTGGTACTGACTGATAAATGATCAGTTCCTTTTGAGATTGATGATCTCATTCCCCCTTTGTAGTTCTGCCAGTTCTCGGATTTAAATATATTTAAATATATTTCAGGGACACGGTGGCTCAGTGGCTAAGATGCTGAGCTTGTCAATCAGAAAGGTCAGCAGTTTGGTGGTTCGAATCCCTAGCGCCACGTAAGGGAGTGAGCTCCCGTTACTTGTCCCAGCTTCTGCCAACATAGCAGTTCAAAAGCATGTCAAAAAATGCAAGTAGAAAAATAGGGGCCACTTTGGTGGGAAGGAAACAGCGTTCTGTGCGCCCTCGGTGTTTAGTCATACTGGCCACATGACCATGAAGACGTCTTCGGACAGCACGGGCTCTTTGACTTTGTAACGGAGATGAGCACCGCCCCCGGAGCCAGAAACTAGTAGCTCATATTGTGCGAAGGGAACCTTTACCTTTTAATATATTTCCTCTTTCCAGGAATTGGACAATCCCTTCAGATTATATGGATTGACAATGAATCCTTTGCTCTACAATATAACACAAGTTGTTATTCTGTCTGCTGTTTCGGGTGTAATCAGCGACTTGCTCGGGTTTAACCTAAAGGTAACTTTCTCAATTTTGCACTTAATTTATCTTTAACTTCCACAGGTTTTTTTTTTTAAAAAGGTAACCATGATTCTCATTTATAAATATTGAAAACACCTGTTGTTTTAAAATCATTGATTTGTTTCAGTCCCTAGTACCTATTCTTTTCAGAGTGATAAGAAACTATGCCTGCAACCATTGCATCGTATTATGAAATTCCTTTAATTTCAGTCCTAAATATTGATATGAATGTCTGGATACATAGAATGGTATTCCAGAGCCTGGGCTTAGTTTTATTTATTTATTTGTTAATTTAGTTGCCTCCTGCCTCACTTTAAGACTGCTGTTACAGCCATAAAAAGGAAATGAAAGGCATGTAAATAGCAGTAAAATAATCGGACTCACAAAATAAACAATGAAAAAAGAAACACAAGAATGAGATTGGACTAAGCTTTGACTAACACATGATTTACAATTTATTGCAATATTTATTGCTTTAAGTGGAAGCCATTATCTGCATCCTTTGAAGCTGTTAGATAATAGTTAGCTGGCTTAAATGATTGATCAACTTTCAGTGGTAAGATTTTCTGACTTTTTCCAAGTGGGACTTTGAAAAAGAAAGCACTTTCTCAGCATAATTGTATGCTTAGATGTTTCTATTGAGATTGTATTATTCCCTCAACTCGCCTTTGATAGAAGAGACTGTTTGTAGCTTGGGGTTGAATTGAAGGGGCCTTGGTGTTTTCTTGGTGATTTTCTTGCAGTGTCTCATTACCCAATTAGGTAACATCATCAGTGGTAGAAAGGAGTGGGGTTTGTGGAGAGGAGGAGGAAGAGGAGGAGAAGGAGAAGGAGAATGATATCACTGTTCGTTGCAGAAAATCAAATCCAGAAAGCACATACAGATTTAGTAGAATTCGTTAACTTCTTTATATACAGAATAATACATGAAGTAAATTTACAATACCAACAGCAGATTTTTCCAACGTTGTAGAGAAGAGTTCCAGTAAGTTCTTAGTTTCAGTTCAGCAGACACACAAAACCAGATTTGTTTGCAGCTGCAGGGCTCAAAGCTGCAGAGCCACGCCCAAGCTCCTTCCAGTTTCAGTTTCCAACTCAGCTCCCATTGGCTGACTTTGTTACCATGTATCTGCCAGTTCATGAATATTCTGACAAATGAGGAGGAGAAAAAAAGGGAGGATGAAGAGAAAGGAGAGGAGGAAGAGGAGAAAGAAAAAGGGAGGAGAAAGAAAGAGGAGTGGATGGAGAAAGGAGGAGAAAGGGAGGTGGAAGAATAAGAAAAAAGGAGAATGGAGAAGGACAAAGAGGAGGGAGGAGGAAGAGGAGGAGGAAGAAGAGGAAAGGGGAACTGTGGGGTCTTCGGTGCTCTCTGAGCTTGGTGATTTTTTTGCAGACGTTTCATTACCCAATTAGGAAACACCATCAGTGCAGAACTGAGGTTACCTAATTGGGAATGAAATATTTACCAGCGCTGACAGAGCAAGTCACTCGTATAATTAGAGAACAAACCCTACTGCCTTACTAGCACTGATGAGGTTACTTAGTTTGGTAATGAAACGTTTGCAAGAAAACCACCCAGTTCAGAGAGCACCAAGGGCACCCCCCCCCCCCCCCCAGTAAGGAGCATTTGTTCTCTGCCAAGTTGCTATTGTCTTGGCACAGGTTCCATCCTCTGATTGCCAGAGGAGGACAAGTACGCGACAAACGGCGGAACGATGATCCATCTTTGGTTTTACCACTGTTTCTGATTTCAGCTTTGGAAGATCAAATCCTGACCCTCTTCCAAGATGGGATGCCCACGTTGTGCTGAAGCAGACAACTGACAAAAACTGAACTGCCTCCGCGCAATGGCTGGATTTGCAATTTCTTTACGGACATCTTCGGAGGGAGAGAAGAAGAAGAAGAAAAAAAAATACAAAACCCCGAAGTGTTTACAACTGGCAATCTAGTGCAATCTGAATATTTATTTTACCTTTTCGGGTTTGTTTGTTTTTTTTAGTAAACTTTTGTTTTAGTTGACAGTGTGTTTGGTTCTGGATCTTCAACGGGCTTTGGTTACCAAAAAGGTCAATATTGTGAAAGAATGAAAGCCCCCTTTTAAGCTCAAGAAGTTCTGGTTACAAGCCAAGTGGCGCAGAAGTCACTTTCTCGAATAAAGTATTACCAAGTATTTAGAAAGTTTTATATACCGCCCTCGAAAAGGGGGTCATCGGCGCACCAGCATATTGTTGGTTACAGTAGAAAATTACGCTTCCTGTAACGATAACGCATTATGCCGGAGAGCTCATAGAGAGGAATAAAAATGTGGGATTTTTTGGGGTGGTGGTGGAAAGCATCGATTCAAAATCCAGCAACTTTCTTACTCAAGGGATTCCAGGATCCATAACGGGAACTGTTGTTTCAACATAGACCGAATCTCAACAAGGTGTTACCGAGCAAATCAACAAGTGCTCTTTCACGATGTTTCCTTTTTTTTTCTTTCTTTTTTAGCCGAGCAATAATTGTAAACTGTTACTACACTGTAAGATATTTTGATAAAAAGTAGCCGTGGTATTTATTTGAAAACGCGGAGCTGTTTGCCCAGCTCTCTGCCGCTATATGTGCACTTTTGTGTCTATATATATATATATATGGTGGGATTCAGCCGGTTCGGACCGGTTTGAGTAAACTAGTAGTTCCGGCGATTAGTTGGCCCCGCCCATCCACCCCTGCCGTAGTCTGTGTCAGTATTATGCAGCCTAGCTGATTTGCCCAGTACTATGGATTGTCGCGGCTTAGCTCTTTTACTCATTTGGTCAGAAGGTAAATTTTAGAGCTAAAAATGGATGGTTTTCAAATGCACGCAAGCGCAAAGCCCACGCTCACCAAACCGGTTGTTACACTGGTTGAATCCCACCACTGTATATGTGTGTCTGTCTGTGTGTGTGTATGGTATACACACACACGCACATATAAACTAAACAGGATATATTATGGTGCACTGTGGGGTGATAATCTTGCCTTCGTGATTGGGCAACAAAACTCTGTATATGCTCAACCCAAACATTGTTCCCCGCAACAGTACACCATAGTATATGTGACTTATACCACACAGAGGCTTTTAAAGTGAACTTAATAAGGTGTATGTTTTTAAATTATAGGATGAAATGCCGGTTTTTCCACCCTGTTCCTAACCCCTTCCCAGCGTACTTTGGAGTGAGCATATTTTTTAAAAAATCAGACTGCGGATTTTAAAAGCTCCCAATTTGAAACTGAAAGCACGGAGAGAAAAAGATTTTCTTCCTCCTTTTCAAATACACCACAGACTTAAATTTATTTCCGGTGCAAGAAAGAGTCATTGAACTGGGTTTGCTAAATAATATAAGCAATTGTGGATTATTTCAGGAACAGTGTTTCCTGACTCACGCACCCCGCCCCCCCAAATATTGAATTCCTGGGGGGAAAAACATAATAATCCAAAATTCCCTATTTTGCCTCTGGAGGAAGTTACAGTACACTGAACTTCCCAGCGTACTTTGGGAGGGAGCAATATTTAAAGATCGGGCAGTCTTGACTGCAAAATTAAAAGTTCCAACTGTGCATAAAATGTCAGGCTCAATTTATTGCTGGCTCAAGGTAGGGCCATTTAACTGGGTTTCTATAATTTTCTAAAGCTATGTATAGGTTTATATGTATAGACAGTATTAGTCAGTTTTGACTTTAGTGGTAATATTAGTAACTAGTGGTTAATTATGCAGAGAATAGAGGTGATACCTATAATTGAGTTACCTTGATGTGCACAGCTCTGATCTATTTGGAGGGGGGTGGTAGAGAAAATGTTAGTTGTGTGCCCGCTGACACCTCTGGGTTTCTGTGGTTCAGTTGAGAGGTCAACACTCTGCACAACATAGTTGTTTATGACAAGTTGCCACTCCATTAGGTGAGTTCAAAGGCTGTATTTGCTGGAGGGCAGCTTGGGTGAAATTCATGGCCTTTGCATAAAAGTCCATCAGTGTCAGGCAGCAGCTATACCAAATTTGAATCAATAAAACATTAAATTATCTAGTTTACAGGTTAAATCGATTGTTTATTTGGAGCAAAAGGATCTGTTGATTAAAAAGAGAGAGAAAAATGGCTGAGAACAAAGTTTTTGAGAAAGTTGGCGTACATTATCAAATTGTAATCAAGTAGGGAAAAAGATCCTGTTAGATTAGGTTGAATAGCTCTGGAAGATCCTGCATTTCTCAGCTGATCCCTTAGAGTTTAAGTGTTTTAAAACGTAGTTATTGTTAAATGTGAGTAAGAGAAAATAATGGAGCTGAGCACAAAGAATATGTAGACAGTCACTTTCCTCTGCAGAATTATTACAATTGATCTTGTGTGGTATAAGGTATTTTTATATATAATGTAATGCAGACATTTTGCATTTTATTGGTTGCTGTACTAATGACCAAAGTACTTTCTGTTGTATTATTGTTTGTTCACCCTTTCCCCCACCCTCAAAAGAATGAGTTACTAGAGCTTTAACAACATGCAATGTGTAATTTATCATGTCAAATTGTGACACACACATGACCTGTTCTTCATTTGTGTTGTCTGATGTTTCAGGTTATGTTTAGTAATTAAGTCTATTTTATATATGTTTTTCTCTCTCTCCAAAATACGGTACAGGCCTACGTAAAAAGCTAAATTTTACAAAGAATATATTTTAAGAAGAAAAACAAAGCAAAACTAAAGAACAGTATGAATTTGAGGATGAGTTTGCGTAGCAATCAGAAATCATTTTTCCATTCTGCCTTACCATTTTTTTAAAAAAAGAAGAAAAAAACAATAGATGTTTTCATAAGGAGGCGTTTTGGGTTTTCTGTTTTTAATAATACTGAGTACGATCTCATTTGAAGGCAGCGGTTTTGAGTTTTGAGCAGAAATTTGATAGTGAGCATACCATACCTCTGCAACTTACTGGTATGCTGGATTGTTGCACTAATTATGGCTAGCATTGGCAGACTTTTAAGCATGAGAGCTAGCAGGTAGGAAATGTGTACCTCAGAATAATGACAGGTTTAAATTGTGCCATTGGTCTATCAAACCTACATTTGAGAAGCTAAGCATACCTTAAACATCCCTTTAGTTGAGGGACAGCAGTAAAGAGAATGTGACAAATGTTTAATTGTTGACTTATGTTTGTAACTGGCAATGTGCGGAAGCTTGGAATAAAATCTGAGGCTGATGGTATAAATGCTGACTGTTCCTTTGTGTGTGTTTTTGCTATCAGAGTTTTCCTGTTGTGCGTGAGCAGTTCAGATCCACACTAGAAGGTCCAATTAAACTGATTTATTGATTTACAGCCTCTGGACAGGATTCTTCTAGAACAGGTGTCAGTCCTGAGATGCCGGGAGGCCCAGGGTTGCCATTTTGGCAGAGGGGGAGAAAGACCGAGCAGGGACTGAGAGGCCACCCTGCACCAGCCACAACCCATACCTGCGGGGGGCTGCGAGGCCAACAAGAACGATCACTACAGCGCTGCTTGGATGTTCTAGCAGCGGCTGAGGGGCACGCCAGCCAGAAGCGCTGAGGTGTGTGCCAGCCGGAAGAACTGAGAGGCAGAGCGGGCACCTGTGATCGGCATGCAGTGCTATTCTCGGGGTATGTGCAGGGCTGGGCGAGGCTGGGTAGGGTTTAAATGGTGGCGGGGAGCACAGAGTAGTAGCCCTGACTTTATTTCGCTATTATACTTTGATTGGTGATGGTCAATTTTTGCCATTAAAAGTCCGCAACGAAGATAAAGCCATTGGGAACCAGGTTTGTCTTGGTGTTTCTTTCATTGGCTTACAGAAGCTGACAACAGGGGTATCAAACTTGATTTCATTGAGGGCTGCATCAGGGTTGTGTTTGACCTCAGGGCTGGGGTGGGTGTGGCCAGAGTGGGCATGGCCTGCTCAATGTCACTTGTTGGGGTCGCCTATGGCGGCCTAAGTGCTCTGCCAGTGATAATGGGCTCTTCAGCTCCATTTCCGGCTGTGACAGGCTCTTGCAATCCTTTGCCATGGCCCTCCTGGGCTCCGTTTTTGTTGGCAGAGGGTTGCAGGAGGCTGTCACAGCCAGAAATGGAGCTCAGGAGCCCATTTTTGCTGGCACCACGGGGCCTGTCTCACTGTTTCCAGGGTGACCCCATGGGTCAGATCTAAGCACCTCGCCTGCTGGATCTGGCCTGCGGGCCTTGAGTTTGACACCCCTGTTCTAGAACTAGAAAATAAGTAGAACTACAAATAAGAAATAGAGCTAATTATTAGAACTAATAATTTGCATCTGGTTAGAGTTAGATAAGGGTCAATGGCATTTAAAGGAAGTTGGACTCAGTTCATGGCTACGTAGGGATTCTAGGCTGAGCCCTCTTGTTGCCGCCTCTAGTTTCTGCCACTCCTCTTACATTCTCTTATGGAAGTTCTGTCTTTCTTCAGATTGGTTTGGATCTTCCTTTTTCTCTTTAAATGCCGCTAAAAGTCTTAGTGCACACAACCAGAAGACCATCTTATTGTCATTTTTTAAAATGGAGACTTCAGAATCCCTCCAGATTCTCTAATGCTACACTTCATGGAGCCATGCGTTTTGAGCATTTCATACAAATATTCCTGATGCTTATCCTACGCCAACCAGGGAACTACCCAGAGATGGTATTCAGCAGGTTCATGGCTATGCAACGACTCAAACTGATGACACGTTTAACTCTGCCTTCCAGCTCTGCCTGCTTTTCTACAGTTCCTGAGCCAATCCCTTTCCACTCATGAAAATGAAAATGGCTGGGTTGAAGTGGAATATAGCACTATATATAGCTGGAGTGGGACATAACCGAATTCATTCATTGGCCAAGTCATCATCCAGCTCCCTAAGGGATGATCTAAATGATCTCTTAGCTAATTTTGTTTGTTCTCTCAGACCTACAAAAAGAAAAAAAACTATTAGAAGTGTGCAGCGTGCTTAATGTTCCCTTTCTAATTAAAAAAGGGATACTCAAAGGGCAATCAAGGAAGAGAACCAAATGTTTTCTGCCTGTTTAAGTTGCTTGTTTGGACACAATCCCTTGATTCTACTTCAGACTATTTGTTCGGGCCTTCGGTGATCATAAATCTAATTCTGGAAAGAGCTCCCTTTAAAAAAAAAGAAAACAAGATAAAATGCAATGGAACCCAGCTCTGTCAGGACTATATAACCTACCACCACAATTGTGCCCAAAATTTCTGTTGCCATGCAAGACAGTTGTTAAGTGAGTTTTATGACCACTCTTCTCACAGTTGTTAAGCGAATCACTGCAGTTGTTAAGTTAGTAACACAGTTGTTATGTGTCGTGCCCTTGTTAGAGTCGAACTCTGAGGAAGAGGAGGAACAGCTGACAGGGAGTGGAGGTGTGGCTCTGGAGGTTGTGGAGGAGGCTGGGGAAGGGCAGAGTCCGGCTGAGCAGTCAGAGGAAGAACCAGGCCCATCCCTTCATCCTAGGAAACGCAGGGAGCAACGGAGAAGGAAAAAACTTGGCTTACGAGAGAGGTGGCAGCCATGATCCCACTCACTAGTTGCAGCTGGGGAGACTAGTATATAAGAGAGACAGTTACAACACAGCATTGCTAGTAGCAAAGCGTGTTTTATTTTGCGCTGAAGTTACCTTGGTTGGCGTCCTTCCAACAGACTGTGCCTTGTTATCTCCTTGAAGTTGGTAATTACTTATCCTGGTCCATTGTGGAATTTCCTTCATTGTAGTTTGTTTTAGTTTTTTATTTCACCTCTATCTTCTCATTAAGTTCAGACTATATTGCTTTCTTTTGAAGACTATTTTTGAATAAGTTTTATCTCCAACTGAATTATTGAACAGTAGGACCAAATTGGAGGCATTAAAGGACATTTATTTACGTTTTGGATTTTGTTACGTTTGTGTTACACTCCAGGTCACCACATTATGTGAATCTGAGTTCCCTATTGAGTTTGCTTGTCAGAAGGTCGCAAAAGATGGATTATATAACACCCCCAGGACATGGTACAACTGTTATCTATATGAACCCATTACCAAGCACCTGAATTTCGATCATGTTGTAGCCTGGGGATGCTGCAACCTTAGAGAAACCTTACTCTGTTCTGAAATATCACTTCTGATTCTTTGATGCTCCCCTTCTCATGCCACGAGGTGGCTCTGTGCCCCACCAAACAGCTATCTAGAGCTGGTGAGGCTTACCAAGAAAATTCAGATGGGAGGAAGTTCTCAAGATGCTGTAACATTGAAGTCCATGAAGAAATTCCAGTTCTTCCCATACTACCACCTCTTACAATACGAGACATCGCAGTATCAACAGTGGAGACCTTCAAATTTCTAGGTTCTATTATATCTCAAGACCTAAAATGGACACCTAACATCAAAAACGTCGTCAAAAAACCACAACAAAGAATGTTCCTCCTGCGCCAACTCAGAAAGCTCAAACTGCCCAAGGAGCTGCTGATCCAGTTCCACAGAGGAATTATTGAATCTGTCATCTGCATCTCTATAACTGTCTGGTTTGGTTCTGCAACCCAACAGGACAGACACAGACTCCAGAGGGTAATTAGGACTGCAGAAAAAAACAATTACTACCAACCTGTCTTCCATTGAGGACCTGTATACTGCACGAGTCCAAAAGAGGTCTGTGAAAGTATTTACAGACCCCTCACATCTGTTTCAACTCCTTCCCTCAAAACGACACTATAGAGCACTGCACACCAGAACAAGGAAAGTTTTTTCCCCAAACACCATCACTCTGCTAAACAAATAATTCCCTCAACACTATCCAACTATTTACAAAGTCTGCACTACTATCACTATTAATCTTCTCAATACTCCTTATCAACCATCCCCTCCCACTTGTGACTGTATGACTGTAACTTTGTCGCTTGTATCTTTACAATTTATATTGACTGTTTCCTAGTATGATTTGATTGCTTATTGTACCCTATGGCTATTATTAAGTGTTGTATGTAATGATTCTTGACTCTTGACGAATGTATCTTTTCTTTTTAGGTACACTGAGAGCATTTGCACCAAGATAAGTTCCTTGTGTGTCCAATCACACTTGGCCAATAAAGAATTCTATTCTATTCTATTCTATTCTATTCTATTCTATTCTATTCTATTCTCCACTGAAACATTTTGTGATTAATGTCACACACTCCCAATTGAAGAGACTTCAGTTAAGATAAGGGGTCTGGAGGACAAACCTTACAATCAGTGGTGGGATTCAAATAATTGAATCTGCCCTAATGATTTCTTCCAACCAGTTCACACAAACTGCTCAGAAAGTTAACTGGTTCTTCCAAACTCAAAAGTCACTTTTTTTCAGTAACATAACTTTGAACGGCCACTAAATGAACTGTCGTAAATCGAGGATTATCTGTATTTTACCAGTTTAGATTTTGCTTGGTGCTTCAAGGGCTGTGTAGATATTTTTTTACTTTGGCCACTGTAGCTGGGGCACAACATTAAGCAAGAAATACTAAAATATAGCTGTAGTCTTCAACTTGCAATCATTCATTTAGTGACTGTTCAAATGTAGAGTGGCACTTTAAAAAGTGACTTCAGACTGGCCCTTGCACTTATGACCACTGGGGCATCGCCAGAGTCACGTGATCAAAATTTGGGTATTTCGCAACCAGCATGGCGACCATGGCAATGTCCCAGAATCATGTGATCAACTCTCCCAGCTGGAGAAAAACAAGGAAACGTTAATGAGGAAAGCCCAAATCGCTTAACAATGTCATGATTCACTTAATGTCTGCAGCATTTCACTTAACAGGAGGGATGGGATTCTACCTGGTCGGACCAGTTCTATAAACCGGTTATGATTCGGCCCAGTTTGGAGAACCGGCAAATCGTGCCACTGGCTGGCCCCTCCCCTCCCACTCACTCCTGACGTGGCATGTGCACCATCAAACTTGCCTGCTAAGTTGCTGTGCCGGGAGATTTAGATTAACTAGAAAGCAGGAAATTGTTGGATTTCTTGCTTTCTAGCTAATCTAAAAGCAGAGCTGAACCTTCCTTAGGACTGAAGCTTCTATTTTTCAGTGCAGACTCAGGTAGCAGATTGCAGAAAGATAGATCTCTAAGTGAACCTGTGATTCTGTGAGTTGCCCGCCTACTTCGCCTGATTTGGGGTAAAAGTTGCTCTTTTTCAAATAAAAAATTAAATATTTACATAAATATTTACAATATTTACATACAAGCAG